TTCTGTGCTATGTGTTGCCACCTTGAGATTTCTTTTTTGTTGGCTTCAACTGAGTATCTATACGTAGATTCGTAAGAACGTTGGTAAGATCTAAACCGATACAGAATTTATGCTGATGAACTTCATTAATAACCTGACTGATCAAAATGCACTACCTACTTGATAATCTAACCGTTGAATGCTTAATTCTCAGTACGTTCCTGTGACGGGACATTCTGCTTCGAATGTGGTGATACTGGCCTGAGGGTACATGGCACAAAGGCTGAGGAGGGCCCCAGGTGTCGCGCAGAAGGCAGGTGGTCAAGAACTCAAACACAGCAAAGGCCGTTGCTTTGAGAATACAGAGAGGAAGCGAGAGTTGCGGGTACAACAGGGGAACAAGGAGCTGGGAAGTGACCAAGTGCAGCTTTTTGGCTGGCAGTCTGCCTGCAAGGCATCTGCGAGGCTTCGGGGCAATCAAACTGGCTATCTGGGTGCTTGCTGAATAGAGCACAAGGCTATGAAGTGTAAAAAGAGAACAGGGCTCACGGAGTGGACCCGCTCACGTTTGCCCAGGGTGGGCGGGTTGAGAAGGAAAGATAACTGTCACGTGTGTATTACAGAACAATACGCCAGTAACTTTTAATGAAGGCAAGCGCAACGATGCTGACCCAGTTTTCTCAGCCGGAGTTGTTGATGCCCCTGTGTTGTCATGCACTGAAGGCTGGTTGGGCTGGTTCCTGGACGAGGGTCTGTGCTGGTTTCCATGGGTCAATACAGTGAGAGACTCCAATCTGCAGGTGACTCTTCATGCAACGAGTAGTCAGTTTTATTTGCCGCAGCATCTTTCTTTGTCCTAGCTGCAAAATGCCTGTAAAGCATGTGTCAATGCCAGCGTCCTATATCAAAATCTTACCCAGTTTGTCAGAATACAAAGCAGCAGCTTGAGCACTGCTGGAGGTTTATTTTTTTCATTCTTCTTCCAAGTTATTTCTTCATCCTTTCTTCCAGTATGATACTGCCTGGTGTCTTAACTGAATTACTTGGGCCATACCTGCAAAAAATGTCAGTATTTCAATGTCAGTGCCTTAAGACTTCTCACCAGAGGGCAAGAGATTCAGGACCTCAGCTTGGCTCCAGCCAGAGGCAGAACGAGGAGAAATGGCCAAGGATTAAAACAAGACGTGCAACGTGCTTAAGCAGTTGTGCTGAAGCATGCAAACTCAAACAGATAGATTTAAACCTAATTACTTACACACATTTAAACAAAGAGGGGGTCTCCAAACACTAGCTCAGCATATTCAGGTGAACAGAGGTACGCAGGCTGGCTGGTCAGAAAACACTTCAAAACTGTGAGAATGACTAATTCACAGCCTATAGACAATTATACAGAATTAACTTGCAAGATGAAATTGCTGTTGATTATAGTGGGAGTGGAAATGTTAGTGTGCCAGATCCATCGTGCAATTATATGATGTACGGTATGGCGTATATGCATACGGTTGTTATTGCCATCTCAGAAGGATGTGAAGCATTAATGTACGTAAGCTTCTGTCTTTGGAAAAAAGAGGTTGGTACTGTTCTCCCCTCATCCTCCCCTCGGTAAGATGATACTGGAACAGTTCTCAAAGTCTCTGAGGAAACACAGGAAGAGGTACTATTGCTTTGATTGATTTTTACTGCTTATCTTCAATGTTCTGTTATTTAAGTGTGTAGTACTTCACACGCACCCGAAGGTTTAGATGATCATGATTTCCACTGCATCTGTGTAAGAAAAGAAAGGAAAGGTGATTGACATTTTGGCAGCAAGCATTTTGGAGGGGAAAAACAGGAAGAAAAATAGCATAGGAAAGACCCAAGAAGAGAAAAAAAGATACATAAGGGAAGTCCAAATGTTTGCTTGAAAAGGAAGGAATAGACTTGTATGGGGGGGAAAGCAGACAAGATTTGACAATTATCTTCAAGTGGGGGAGAGAACAGTCAAGACTGACCTTACCGTAGTGTTTGAGCCTTGGTGATGGAGAAGAGACGGTGGTGTTATCCACTGCAACAGAGGAAGAGAAACTGAAGAGCATGATTGTAGAACAGTAAAATCCGTTTTGGTCAAGCCAAATGCGAAAAGGTGGTGAATCGGCCAAGATTAAAGATCCGAGAACCTCTAAATGATGCATGATTAAATGGAGGAAAAAAGGACCAGCATGGATAAATATGACTGAAAGCTGTCAACAGTAAGAGATAAATAAACCCTTGTGGACAGATGAAATCACTTAAGAACGCAGGTTTAGGGATGCAAGACTCCAGTGGCTATCCAAGGGCAGGATTCCTTGCCAGTTTCTGACTGATCCTTTTTTTTTTTCTTCAGAACTGTGGGGACAGCTTGTGCTGAATTGCTTCTTTGGGAAGGTTTTACTCATCTTAATCACAGATGATCAAATGAGCAAACTCATAGGATGAGTAAAGGTTTTTTGATTTCAATTATAAAAAATGCCGGCTGAGTAAAGAAACCCATTAAAGCATGTATCTTTATTAAATTCTAAAACATTCTAGTCATCAAGATTTACAATTACTTTGCATTCTAAATTCTGTAAGGAGAAGCTGGAGACAATCAAGTAACAGGAAATGATTGTGTTCCTGTGTCTTCTCAAGAAAAGCAGAAAGCAATTCTTTGACGGGGAGTGACTACACATACATATCCATAACTTTGACTTCTGAAGAAATATACTGACAGATGTGGCTGTTCTTTTAGTAACAGTATTAAGATCCTGATGATAACTCTATTACACTCCTGGGAGAAAAATTAAGTAGTTTCCAAGTTCCATTAAATATCTCACAAACTTGTATTCAGCTACAGTTTGAAACAGGCTTCAGCTTTCTTACTTTTTAGTGTTGACATCATTGCTGCACTTCTAGAAAACAAGGTAAACCTTTATCAGGCTAAAGTGCTTTCCATTGCTATAATGATGTTTCTTGTCCAGTGAAGTCATGCAGGAAAACAACTTCTTTATAGCCAGAAGTGTAAAGATTTTGTTCCTTTTCTTTGAGGGAGGGGCAGGGAAAAGACAGAGATCTGTACAGAAGTATGTAAAATAGGCATGCTTCTCATTGAAGAAATTAATTTCATAAGCCCACTGACAAGTTGAGAGTCATGTGCAGATGTATCTATTACACTCACATAGCTCTTTTTAACACACCTCTATCATCATAATGAATGATCAATTTCTATGTTACAGTTATCTCCTTAGCTAAGCCTACAATGATGTTGGTACTTTATAGATTTGCTGAAACAGAAAAACACATCTGATGTTTTCCCTTGTGAATTTGGTGATCGGTTGCTGAAAAAAACCCTCTTCCTTAATCACAGTCCTACTGTGCCTAAACTTGCTACGTTTGTCAGGCAGACTCAGAAAGCTATGACACTGGCTTGAAGACTGTACCTTCAAAAATAGTTTTGGCATATTTTATTTGCTGGCTCTTTCAGAGTATACTTAGGTCAATTTTATGCATAAATTTAGAAATTTATCTTTTTAATTGATAGTCTCATAGGACTATTGGTTCCCAGAAACTCTGCTGTAAGTAGATCGGCAAGTATTATGTCGTAATAGCCTTTGCCTTCATGTACTATTAACCACCACTGAAAGGAGAGAGATCTTTTTCGGTCCCTGATTTAGCTGAAGGTACAGGCTAAATCGTTGCCCTTGCACAAGTTCCTTTTGTCAAGAGTCAAACAATTAAACAGCCAGCTGAGCAACAATTGCACCAGCTCCTCCTCACACAGAGGGCAGTACTGGAAACAGCAGGGATGTATAGCTGTAGTACCTAACAATGCCAGGACAACTGAATGGTCCTGGAAGGGACTGAGAAAAACACTAAGTTACACTGGGGCTTAATCAGACCTCAGTACTATCAAGACAAAGAATGAAATGATGACATGACATCTTCCACCCTCCTTATCTCCTGTGAAGAACAAGCACGGGATTAACTTGAGGACTTAAGATGTGGTTTCTCACCATATATTTGCTGACATAGAATCATAGAATAGTTCGGGTTGGAAGGGACCTCTCTAAAGGTCATCTAGTCCAACCCCCCTGCCGTGGGCAGGGACATCTTCAACTAGAGCAGGTTGCTCAGAGCCCCGTCCAGCCTGACCTTGAATATGCTCTGATGACATGTAAGATAGTAGCATAGCACTTGTGCAAGCAATCAAATCGAAGTTTTATAACTACGCTATTGCTTAACGAGGAGCAATGAGTTTTCTGTTCTGAGGTTGTTTTCCAGATAAGGAGTTTGTTCAACTCTAACCTGCAGAATGCATAAAACTGAAGTGGAAATAGGTGCCGATTTTGAAATATTTTCAGAGTGAGATTCTCCTCCATAGTTCTTCCCCTTTGTGCTACCCTGGTCACGCTGCAAGTCTGACCCTGGCTGTATTTGGTGAGCTGCGAGTGCCTCTTGGGGGATTCCCCTTGTCAGCCTATCGGAGGTGCAGCCTGGGACAGAACGGGGTCTGACTGGAGCGTGGCTGAGTTTTGCCGATTATCAGACGGTGGGAGTGTGTTGCCAGGTAGCATGAGATAGGGCTGGAGCCTCTGTGAACCTGCTCAGAGGCTGAGCTGCGGTAATGCAGGACAGAAGATGATAGAGCCATAGCCAGCTTCCTTGTGGTCTGCCCCTTCTGCCTTGCCAAGCAAACCTCAGTGCAGGACAGTGTGGCCCAGTTTGTTTTAAAAGATTATTCTGCACTGGATTTTGAATATGTACAGGGAAACTGCTGCAAAACCTACTGAGCAAAAAAGCTCAGTAGGAATGTTTCAATGAGATTAAAACAATGCAACACTGATCTTCTGTTTAAAATGTCTTCCATACGTCCGCCTGGAAGCTTTTCTAAGGCGTTTTGGAAGAAAATTTGCTTCCAGACTGATTTATAGACTTCTCAGTAATTAGTTCAACAGCAGTTCCCCCTTCTCAAAAGTAGTGTCCTGGTTTCAGCAGGGATAGAGTTAATTTCCTTCCTAGTAGCTGGTACAGAGCTGTGTTTTGGATTTAGGATGAGAATAATGTTGATAACACACTGACGCTTTATTTGTTGCTAAGTAGTGCTTACACTAGTCAAGGATTTTTCAGCTTCCCATGCTCCACTGACTGAGAAGGCTGGAGGTGCACAAGAAGCTGGGAGGGGGCACAGCCAGGACAGCTGACCCAAACTGGCCAAAGGGACATTCCATACCATGTGACGTCATGCTCAGTACATAAACTGGGGGAAGCTGGCCGGGGGGGACGCTGCTCGGGGACTGGCTGGGCATTGGTCGGCGGTTGGTGAGCACTTGCATTGTGCATCACTTGCTTTCTATATTATTATTGTTATTATTATTACTACTACTACTATTTTATTTTAATTATTAAACTGTCTTTATCTCAACACACAAGTTTATTCACTTTTACCCTTCCGATTCTCTCCCCCATCCCACCGGGGGGGGAGTGAGCGAGCGGTGGTGTGGTGCTCAGTTGCCGGCTGAGGTTAAACCACAACAAGCAGTCACCGAAGCAGCCTAAATCCAGATTTAATGTCCATTAAAAAGGAAATGCTTTAGTGTTGGGATCTCCGTCAGTGTTCTGGTTCTCAGGAAAGTACTGCATTTTTATAAAAAAGAGGCTCTCATTTTTGGGCCAAATTCAAACCGACCTACAAGATGGATAGGTAAAATATTATTTGTGTGGATAAGCTTGATGTGAGCTTATTCTAAATCCGAATATGGCCTTTTGGAGGCTATGGAAGCAGAATTAAGCAAAGGATTAGACCAAATAGGGATGTAAGTTTTGCAAAAGCAAATGCTAACAAAAGTTTGGATGACAGGTAAGGTGTTACGTTTCAGAGTTTAAGCCAGTCTCTAGCTATTAAAATTACAGAATCACAGAAACTGGACATGAAAGATATGAAGAGAGCATATTTAGCTGATGATATTCCTTCCCCAGAGCATATCAACTATACGTTATTCCTGACAGATGTTAGACTACTATGCCATAAAACCCTCCAGTGACAGATATGCCATAACTGCAATGCAACCTATTCTTAAATGTCATTAATCTCAATTGTAGAAAGCTCTTTCTAATGTGTGGTATCTCCTTTGTTGTCTTTTAAGCCCATATATTTTTGTTGTTTTGAATATAGTACCAGTGTGTAGATTATTACTGCTTCATGGCAAGTATTGATATTTTTGTTATCACATTTCTCCGTAGTCTTTCCTTCTGTTAACAGTTTCCCCAACCTTCGAGCTCTCCTAAATCATGTTATAGGATCTCTGATAACTCTTACTGGTATTTTTCTGGACTTTCTCCAACTTGCCCAAGTCTTTCTGAGGTACGGCATGCTGTCCCGAACAAGGTACACTAGCAGATCGAGATCTCACCAGCAACAAGTAGCGCGTAAGTATTACCTCTCGGGCCTTAAACACAATACTCCTGTTAATATACAGCTTGCTTTTACAACAGCACGATGTTGTTAACTCTGGCTTAGCTTTTATCATTTTCTGCAGAACAGATTACAATGCAATGTTAGAGAGATGCTTTCACAGGAGCTCAGTAGTGCTCACTTTCCCCCACATGGCTTGTAGAGTCTTCTTAGGTGTTTTCTGGCCGTTCATGGAGGCAGGATCCTGAATTGGATAGACTAGGCATCCACCAGAAACACAGATAAGTTCCCCAGCTTCTCTTCGTAAAGAAAGACCATGTGATTTTCACAGCTGGTTTTATCGTGAATTGTCCTCATCTGCAAAAGCCTTGATTAGGTGCTATGAAGAACAAGCTTAGAGAGACCAGAGACCTGAATCATGCTCACCTCCCTTGTGAAGAACTTACCATGTCTGTGGATCGTGGCATCGTCACCGTCTACCCTTTCCTTTTTGTAGGCTCCTCTCTTGTCAGGTATGAACCATTCTTGGGAATGGAAATTTTGTCTGTGCAGGTCACAGTCTTGTCTATCTTGAAGAATTACATTTTATTATTGAACAAAAATCTCAACGTAATATACAGATGTGATATTTTTGTTTAACAGCACGTCAGCTGGTGACATTTAAGAACCTCACTGCAGTGTCTATGGCTTGTTGACATAATGGCGATATTTACAGTAGAAAAAATGGTTGCACTTTAAAATGTATTGGTTAAATAATATCAAACAGTAGAATATTCTAAGAAGTTGTATCTAGTGTAGAGAAATAAAGTCACTTTAAAATAGGACAGATTTTTCTTATTCCCTACAAATTTAAATAAATTTCTTTGAAGAGGAAATTCCTTTTACTTGGAGCTGCAGGTTGCATTAGATCATCTGATTTCTTTTAAAAAAAAAAATCCAGTCATTCTGGAGCTCTTCATTTCATCTGCTCTGAACCTATACCCATAGATTATTATACCTGATATATTATCAGGCACTGAAAAAAGCAGAACAAGTTCCTTGGAACAGATTGTTTCAGTAAATGTCTTGCTTTCCTAGTGCAGTGCTTGGAAGTACCCCTCTGTGCTAGTTTTTCCATGAATACTTAACCTCTAGTTTTGGATTCATCTAGCAACAGGAGACCATTATCTTGTGAAAATCCTGTATCTTTTTTACAGCTTCAAAAATAGACAAACTGGTCTTTGGAGTTCTCTGTACTAGGTAAACTGGTTTTCTTCTTTGTCTTACGTATAAGAGCAGAGAGGTTTGCAAAAAGAAAATGTATCTGGTGAGACCAGATGACGTATAGCTGAGGGGAAAAAATAGGACAAGTGTTCCAGCTGGGAGTCCCTCCATTAGCTCTGGCAAGGAGCAGCCAAAGTGCTTGCCAACACCCAAGTACTATTTCATCTGTATGTGCACAAAAGTAGATCTATTGGCATTCATACCTGTTGCTTTAAATTTACATTTCTTCCTGTGAAAGCCTGAAGTAGAAATGTTGGCATCTGAAATCCTGTAATCACTGCGTCCTACAGGCTCCAGCCCGAGGCTGAGTCGCACTGGCAAGAGAAGGACCTGAACTGACCGGCATCAACCACAAGATGAAATGTAACTTCTTCCTCCCTGAAGAACTGAAATATGCTATTCCAACAGAGTTGTCTGGATTTTTTAAGGTTAAAACAGGAATATTCTATGTGGACAAGGAGTAAATAAATCCCCACAGCAAATATGAACTATTAACTGGTAACACAGGAAAAGGAAAGGAACAGTGGAGTTAGAGAGAGAGAGAGAGGGAAATGTCTGAGTGGAAGCCCGGTCATTTAAGTTCCTACACTTTATTTCTGTTGGTGTAGCTCTACACGTCACGTTAAAACAGCAAAAGCGATGCTGAGCCGTTTCTTTAGGTGCTACCCGATGTTTGCAAATGCAACCTCAGAAACACTCGCTTAAAAATCAGAATAGGAGTCGTGGAAACGGAAGAGATTTAAAATCAAATACTTAAACTCCTTCTCCCGGGGCATTCCCGTGATGAGCATACGTGCGATGGAGCTGCTATTTAAAACGAAATTTTAAATTTGTCGGGAGGGGGGGGAGGAGGAAGCCTCCCAGGGAGAGCAGGCGAGCGGCGTCCGTGAAGCGAGCTAAGGGAGCAGGCAGGAGGGAAGCTCCGGGGCCGGGGAGCGGCCCGGGGCGGGCGCAGCCGCGCCGGGGAGGGCACCTCTT